TATATCATCGACCGTTTAGAGTCGAACGCGCCTGTACGTCTTTGTTCACTTTTACTCGCGCCATGACGATCATACTCTTTGCTAGCCTATCATCACTCACTTTGTTTCAGCCTTGCATTTTGGACTGAAAACAAAACAGCGCATCGGCCGTGTTTGTGTGTGGGGAACGGTGGCGCTGCGGTTAGCGCGCTGCACGGCGACCCCGGTGACCCGAGTTGGATACCCGCTCACGGCCGACACCAGGGGCCGTGCGTAAATGACGTCACGCGATTTTGGACGATTTTTGACCCCCTCCTTGTCACACGGCGTCACACAAAGGCAGACCCCCCCACACTCAAATATGACGTCACAAAGCTCTGCCCCTCCCCCCCCCCAAAAAAAAAATATATGCTTCAAATCGCTTTTAACTATTGTCATTGTAGTGCGAATTTAATGTGGCGCTGCCCTCTGATGTTGTAGGAGAAAAGAGTTATTAAAAAGTATATTTAATTAAGTAGAACGTATTCTTGGTTCTTTCGGTAAAGTCACGTAGAAGGGAAACAATAAAATAGTAAAAATATAAAACAATAAAATTATCACGACGTTTCGACTGCAACACAAGCAATCATCATCAGGTGTGAAAGCCACAGCAAGAAAATCTGAAAAAAGTGGCGTTTTTTTTGCTGTGGTTTTCACACCTGATGATTGCTTGTGTTGCAGTCGAAACGTCGTGAGAATTGTATTGTTTTATATTTTCATTATTTTATTGTTTCCCTTCTACATGACTTTACCGAAAGAACCAAGATTATGAATCCCTGCAGTCACGAAAGGTTTAAATCAAAATTTAAGTAGAACGTGTTGTCTGTATTGATTTAAAGCTGCGCATTTTGATGTGACGTCACAATTCTCAAACCCCCCCCTTGTCACACATCGTCACAAATGTCTGACCCCCCCTCCCAGGTGCGTGACGTCATTTATGGACGGCCCCCCAGTCACGATTATTTGAACCGGTCATGGGCCTCCCCTAGGTCGACTCAGCCTCGCAATGAGAAATTGGTGTTCGGTGTGTCAAAGATCATCACGAGGGAGACAAAGGCGGCCGGGCGTAGTGCTGGCCGCACACCTCCGCATGTGTGTGTCGTGTCGGCCTTCATAGATGCTCACTAACAGCACTTGCCTGTTTAGGCTCCACGGCAGGGAGGGGGGGGGCAGTTGGGTATTATTTTGCCAAACGTGATTGTGATGCAATCACCGTGAAGTAGTTCTGGAAGTGTTCCTCCCCAGTTTCCCAGCGTGAACTAATTTTTTTAAAATCTCCCACGCACCTTCGCCCAGCCCGCCGACTCCATATTCCACAATTAGCAGTGGGGGTATGTGGGCGGTTTGCTTAAGCTTTAGACTTAATTAAGACGGCATAGCGTGCTGCTGCAGAGTCCTCGCCCATGTAATGAATATGTAATGAAATATCGGTAAAAAATATATATCAAATATTTATATGCGGCCCAGCATGGCCTGTTGTGGCTCAGGGTACCTTTTTTTCTCAGCCAAATATTTCATGCAGTAATGGTTCAATACCAGTTTATAATCGGTGTAGGCAGTGTGCCATAGAGTGGGATAAGTAGGAGCAGTAAGGCCATTTATTTACCAATAAATAGCCTCGCCGAGTACAATGTAGTATTCTGTTTCAAGGTGGTCCTGCATTAAGAATGTTTGGTATGTGGCAGTAAACTGGAATACAAGGAGAAAACTTATGCCTATGCGTTGTATACAGTCAGAGATATATTCGAGAATCAATTCTCTGGATGGCCTTCTGGCCACCTTGCAGCGAAAAACCTACAATATTACGAACTATTTTTTTTATTTTACTAGACAAGGCTGACTGAGCTACGTAGCTCTTTTTCAGGAGTGACATGGCCACAAACGATAGCACAACGAAGTGGCATGTCACGTGGGAATCTATCGCAGCCGATTGGTCTAAACGCATGCTAATTCCAAATGTGGAGTGGAAAACTGAATGACCCGGAGAAAAATCCACGCGACCACGATGAGAACACGCAAACTCCAAATATACAGTAGGTGTCATGGTCGGGATCGAACCCACGGCCTCCTGCATACCAGACGAGGTAGTTAGAATCTCGCCACCGTGGCACTCCTCTGTACATTGTTTTTCCAAGGCTTTTTTTTGCCCACCCACATGCTAACCTGGCCTCAACCTTGGTTATCTTCCAACATCTGACAATATCAGGGAGTGGTGGTGGGGGGGGGAGAATTGAGGGGTAAATTCGTCATAGGCAAATGTCAGGACCGAGTGACATAATTCCACGTGACATTGAAGCAGCATGCGAGATGGCGATGGCTCGGCGTGGTCTCCCTTCATCCAGGAGTGGATTGATCATAGCTTATGACGCAACGATGATGATGGTCATGGTATTCATCCCAAAAGTATGCCTACTGATGCAATAGCCCGAATCATAATGTTCTAAGTGACTGTCAAAATACATTGCCGGCTACACGGGGCTCATGCGCAGAAATAAATTAGAATAAATTAAAATTAACTGCATATTGGTTTAATAACATGAGGAGCGCCTCACTGAGTAAAGTATTATCTATGTGTGTCATCCTAGACGCTAATAGGACTGGTCCAGCAGTAAAGCCGTAAGTCGAAATGGCAAATGCACTCCCTCCACGCCTGTGGGACCATGATGCAATGGGGTAATGAAAACAACTATTACTTAATTCTGTTTTATTAAACTGTCTACATTGTACCGGCTGTAAAAAATAGTATATTTGTTTCTTGAAAACTCGAATGCCCCCCCCCCCCCCAGCGCCGTCACCCCTCCTCCTCCCCAAAAAAAAATAAATTGTAAATTTTTATGCCTATTCCGTTGGCTGGGTGCCCCATGTACAGTGATGCAAAAAGTATTTGATCCCCTGCTGATTTTGTACGTTTGCCCACTGACAAAGAAATTATCAGTCTATAATTTTAATGGTAGGTTTATTTGAACAGTAAGAGACAGAATAACAACAACAAAATCCAGAAAAACGCATGTCAAAAATGTTATAAATTGATTTGCATTTTAATGAGGAAAATAAGTATTTGACCCCTCTGCAAAACATGACTTAGTACTTGGTGGCAAAACCCTTGTTGGCAATCACAGAGGTCAGACGTTTCTTGTAGTTGGCCACCAGGTTTGCACACATCTCAGGAGGGATTTTGTCCCACTCCTCTTTGCAGATCTTCTCCAATTCATTAAGGTTTCGAGGCTGACGTTTGGCAACTCGAACCTTCAGCTCCCTCCACAGATTTTTTTTATGGGATTAAGGTCTGGAGACCGGCTAGGCGACTCCAGGACCATAATGTTGCTTCTTCTTGAGCCACTCCTTTGTTGCCTTGGCCGTGTGTTTTGGGTCATTGTCATGCTGGAATACCCATCCACGACCCATTTTCAATGCCCTGGCTAAGGGAAGGAGGTTCTCACCCAAGATTTGACGGTAAATGGCCCAGTTCATCGTCCCTTTGATGCGGTGAAGTTGTCCTGTCCCCTTAGCAGAAAAACACCCCCAAGGCATGTTTCCACCTCCATATTTGACGGTGGGGATGGTGATCTTGGGGTCATAGGCAGCATTATTCCTCCTCCAAACACGGCGAGTTGAGTTGATGCCAAAGAGCTCCATTTTGGTCTCATCTGACCACAACACTTTCACCCAGTTGTCCTCTGACTCATTTAGATGTTCATTGACAAACTTCAGACAGGCATGTATATGTGCTTTCTTGAGCAAGGGGACCTTGCGGGCGCTGCAGGATTTCTGTCCTTTACGGAGTAGTGTGTTACCAATTGTTTTCTTGGTGACTATGGTCCCAGCTGCCTTGAGATCATTGACAAGATCCTCCCGTGTAGTTCTGGGCTGATTCCTCACCGTTCTCATGATCATTGCAACTCCACGAGGTGAGATCTTGCATGGAGCCCCAGGCCGAGGGAGATTGACAGTTCATTTGTGTTTCTTCCATTTGCGATTAATCGCACCAACTGTTGTCACCTTCTCACCAAGCTGCTTGGCAATGGTCTTGTAGCCCATTCCAGCCTTGTGTAGGTCTACAATCTTGTCCCTGACATCCTTGGAGAACTCTGTGGTCTTGGCCATGGTGGAGAGTTTGGAATCTGATTGATTGATTGCTTCTGTGGACAGGTGTCTTTTATAGAGGTAACAAGCTGAGATTAGGAGCACTCCATTTAAGAGTGTGCTCCTAATCTCAGCTCGTTACCTGTTTAAAAGACACCTGGGAGCCAGAAATATTTCTGATTGAGAGGGAGTCAAATACTTATTTCCCTCATTAAAATGCAAATCAATTTATAACATTTTTGACATGCGTTTTTCTGGATTTTTTTGTTGTTATTCTGTCTCTCACTGTTCAAATAAACCAACCATTAAAATTGTAGACTGATAATTTTTTTGTCAGTGGGCAAACGTACAAAATCAGCAGGAGATCAAATACTTTTTTCCCTCACTGTACGTTTGAAGCTTCGTCTCAAAGAAGAGTGAACTGAAGCTCGGACGCTCACAATCGACCCTTTGTCTCTGGCTCGTATTGTTGTTTAATTATTTTCGTTCCTTTTCATCATTCAAAGAGCTCAGAGTCCATTCCATCTCAATTTGGCATGGAGCAACACGAGTCTATAGGTTTACGGCTCTGAACCAGTGGTGGAAATTCCACATTCCTCTCTAGATTTAAAAGTGAATAGCTCCCAGTGGCTTCCAATATCGGAAGGAAAATCGTCCCGGATGGCCGCAGCAGCGCATCTTAAAGCGCGCGATGCGGTAACCGTCTTTATTCGATGGCAAGACAAAATCCGTCACTGCGAGGATTGATGATTTACGCTCCTTGACGAGATCAGGAGCATAACAAAATCACTGCGAACTCCGGTCCTCTGGAATCGAGGCACTACCGCCAACATGACCACGGCATCTTTGCCTCTCACCCCCTCCTCTTTTCTCCCACCGCCGTGCGCTGCGCTGTACAGGACACTCCCTGCAGATCCAGTGCTACCAGTGCGAGGAGCTGAGACTCAACGACGACTGCTCCGCGCCGGAGAATGTGGCCAACTGCACCGTGAACGTGCAGGACGCGTGTCAGAAGGAGGTGCTGGTGAGAGAGCAGGGTGAGGCGGGCAATCGAGGATGCACGCGCACACCAACATTCGCCTTTACTTGAGCCCTGCACCGGTTCGTGGAAATTCCACTTGGCTCCACTGTGGCCTTGTGGATCCGGCTCTTTGGAAGGCGAGGGGTTGGTGGATCGCACAAAGGTTGCAAAATTTCCTTCCCGTGGGCGTCGAGGAGGTGTCAAGCCTGGCTTTTATGCACTTTTAAAATCATCTAGATTGAGAGCTAATTTCTTGAGAAGTGCTTTTTGTGTTTTAGTTTATTGTCCTTCCCCTGCACCACCGATTAGCGCGGCTGGCTACGTACAGCGCGAAAGACGTTAAACGTACGTACGTTGCCGGGAAGGAGGCAGTCAAGCAAAAATGTGGTCTTTGACCTCTTCCCTCTGTATGGGATAGAGTGTTTCCCCCTCACACGTGTTGGTTTTCTCCGGGTGCTTCGGTTTTTCTCCCACGTGTATTCACTCATGAATTGGCCGATAACACCTTAACACGCATTCGTCCTTCCGGTTCGGTATAACCAGTGGAAAAACCACCCCGAAACCGTGATGGCCCCGCGCCAGTGGAAATGGGGTATCAATGTCACCATTGTGCTTGCGCCAGGCTAGGTGCACTTTTAGACCACGTGAAGTGTCTAAAGTGTGCTGGCAGGCGGTCACGGAACAGACTCGGGTGTTAAGGGTTAACCGACTGAGATGACTGGCAGATGTACCGATTGTGCTCTCCCCACCCACCATGTTACCATGCTTTGGTTTTAACCGACTGGTTGCCCTACTCGTGCGTGTGAGCATCCCTCAGCCGTATTCTGCTATTGCTGGAGAGCAGCTGCTACCAACTGCCAAACGGTGTGTTTCATGATTCCCCTCATGAAAGACGTTACTGGGAAGGTTTTTTTGACAGGTTCAGCTCAGTCTTCCTGTACCAGATCTCTATTCTCGAGCCCGCGCTGTGTCAGTTTATCCCCCCCCCCCCCCTTCTCTATCAGACCAAACAGAATCTGCTTGGACGTGCAATTGCACGACATGCGGGCTAGACAATTCAGCCCGGCGGTGAAGTAACCACAGCACTTGTGCCAGGCCCCGTGTACTTTGTCGCCATGTAAAGTGTTGAAGGCAGGGAGATAACGGGAGGGACCCACGTGCTATGGGTTGACTGGAAGTTAGTTTAACACGTAGTAGGCTTTCGCGACCAATATGATCCATAATAGAGGCGTCTGGGTTAGATCGCGTAAATATAAATGCGTCGTCAAAGGTGCCACCACCCGACACAGTAAATTAGTAAGGGTTGTCATGTAAACAGAACATGGCAATTCGTTTACGAGTATAGCACACCGGTGTGTTGGAGAGGTAATCTACAACATTTACAATTCGAGTACGACGTTTCGCCAGTAATTACAATGATGAATGCATTCATATGCATTGGCTCACAAGTAACGACATCACATTTTTCCATCTATTTAAGAACGCAACGGGAAGATTTCTCCACAAATCTGGCTGTCGTCTGATGATGCCAATGGGTCAGGGCGGACCTGTGCCGGTCGGATATTGATGTGACCTTGGGCAGCGCTCTCCATGAGGTTTTCAAGGGATTCACCCCTCCAGTGGTTTGTTGAATCATCACGATCTGTGGCTGTGCTTTCACGTAAGTGTCGATTCTATTCTCACGTAACTTTTCACCATCTCGTTGGAAATGTCTTATTTTTTTTTCTGTTTCGTTCATACGACTACGTTCATACCATTAGCAAAATTGCATCATTAGTTGCGTGTCTGAAATAGCTCTGTCTAGATCGTATCGTCTATCCTCATAACCGACGGTTGATGTCTATGACAGATGCTGTCCACCTTTCGTGATCTTCAGTAACTCCCGTGCGTATAATTTGCACACGCTGTAAGTACAATAACGAATTTCTCATACGCCCATTTCGATGCACTTATGGCGAGGGTAAGAGTTGATTTCACTCGATGATTCAATGCAACGTTCCGTGCACGCTCCCTCTGATGCACACGCACGTAACCTGCAACCAAGTATAGGTGTCGGTGACAATTGGGAATCAACAGCCACATTCGAACGATAGCAGGCTACAACAGCCTGCTAGCCTGCTCTGGAGGGGACCCTCACAGCAGATTAGCCGTTCTGAATATTTTGCAACATCACGGCCACCAATATTGTTCACATATCTAGTATTGGAAAGGTGGGCTTTCAAGATCTGGGGGCCCTCATGAATCGAAGGATCCAGCCGTCATTAGACCCTCACCCCCACCAAAGACACGAGTGCTATAGCAAGCAGATTGCAAGGGCTGTGGTTTGTTTTACGGAATTAATTTTTTGAAGGGCGGCTTTTAAGTTTTGGTGCAGAGCATCGACGGAACGCAAGCCAGCGGTGGCCCCGTGCCGTGCTGGCCTTGCGTGCGCACTATCAGCGGCGGGTTTGGAGGTGGGTGGTGGGAGATTGGTCCAATCATTTGACGGCGGTGTCTCCCGATTTGGATGCCAGCTCTCGTCCAGGGCGATCGCCCACAAGGCCAACCGGCTCCCTTCCAGCCAATCCCAAAGAGATGAACGCGGAGGTTTTATTTTGGTTTTTATTGGAAGCACTCCTTTACGTGTACCCTTGCTCCAGGGCAGGGCACACAGTTCGTGGGCGCCAGCGTATGGGGAATGGAAAGAGTCACTTTTGGGCTGTGACGATTGCTTCGTGCGATAATTTATTTTATTGTTTTCATGTGTTTGCTATCCATAATGCAGGGGGTTTTTTGGGGTTAGATGGTGTAAATATATAAATGTGTCGTTAAACCCGCCACCACCCGACACACACCAGTGTGCGGAAGATGTTGTGGTTTTGCTCTCCAACGCACCGGTGTGCTGTACTCGTAACAGATTAGCACGTTCTGTTTACGTGACCAACCTTACTAATTGTCTGTGTCGGGTGGCGGCGGGTTTAACGACACATTTATATATTTCCTCGATCTAACCCCCAAAAAATCTGTATTATGGATATTGGTCGCGAAAGCCTACTACATGTTAAACCGTGTTTGCTATATTCCAATAAGAGCCAGGTACAGAGCACAAACCGCGACGCAGGGAGGGGGGTAGAGAAATAGTTCTCAAACTCTGTGCTCCTGGGTTTAGAGGGAGGGCTTCGTCTCCCTGCCACACCCGTGTGGGGACCACGAGCAGGAGGAAGAACTTAAGTAACATAGAGAGAGCGGGAACTTTGATGAGAACCGGTACAAATTTGCTGCGAGGTGGCCAGGAGATGGCAGCCGTGGTGTCGAGATGTTAACTATCTCGCCTTGTATACAGGAGGACGTAGGTTCGATCCCGACCCTGACGCCTGCATATTTGGAGTTTGCGTGTTCTCACCGTGATCGCGTGGTTTTGTTTCCGGTTGCTCCGGCTTTTCCCTCCACATTAAGAATCAACGCGCGTTTACAGTATTTGTCTGCCATAAATTTCCACACGATGATAAGCCACTTCGTTGAGCTATCATTTGTGGCCAGGTCGCTTCTGAAAAAGAGCTACATAGCTCAGTGTGCTTTATCTGGTAAAATTTAAAGATCTGTTTAGTTTTAGTAAAATAAAAAAAAGTTTTGTTTAGATTATTGAATCTGTCTATGTGGAGCTCAGAGTGTAACCCTCTCGTGTGTGTGAATTTTCCCTGGGATTCTCGCTGTCCGACATGTCAAACACTCCTTCATGTAATTAGCCAAACATACCCAAATATAAGACCCTCCTGAAAAAGAGTCTTGAGGTTCAGTCAAGCTTTCATGTGTAAATAAATGGCATTGTCATAATTATTATTAAAAAAATGAATTTGCTCACCATCTGTAGGATCATCCTGGAAAGAGTATTGAGTCTCAGAGGCCTTCCTGGGTAAATAAAGCACGTTATTATTATTCCAATAAGAAATAAACAATATAACCACATGCTTGGTATTTTATTTCAGTTTTTTTTTTTAATCTTGCTAGATGCAGGAGTGTGCTTGCATTGTGAAGCTGTCGCGAGGCAGGAACTGAACGACGGGCACAATGCACGGGCTGGAGTGAACAACTGACGCTCACTCGGGAAAGATGGGTCGGGAGATATACAAATCCGAAATCGCTTTCGGCGCACGGAGCCAGTGCTTTTCCCACATTTTGTCGGACAAACATTTTCCTAAATATTCTTGGAGACCAATGGAATTATTATTCCGCAGGATTGCGATAGACGGTGGTGGTGGTGACAGCACAGTGGAATGGGATTGAACATGGCTGGTGACAATGATGTCCATGATATATCAAATGTTGGCAGGGATGAAGTGACTTCATCTGGTTTTGACACGAACGCAGAGCTCAAAGTGTGCCACCGTGATTCACTATTATGTTAATGGCTCGTCCGTCCCGCAGGGACTTGACCTTTGCGTGGACGTTTGTGTTGACAGACAAGCTGTGGTGAGTGCTACGGCGGCGTATTTGCGGTGGCCCTGGTGGCTTCACCTGTGTTATGTGTGGACGTACTCACGCATCCCTGATTGGATTGTTCTCAAACTCGCCAACCCATCGTCACCCGACGCTCTCTTTATTTTTGACTCTCTGTTGATGACTCCGTGTGTTGCACAGACATGCAGGGGGAGCGGTGGCGCAGTGGTTAGCGCGCTGCGCTACGAAGCCGGCGACCCGCGTTCGATTCACGCTCGGCGGCCAACACCAGAACTGATCCTGGGACTCCCCTAGCTCGACTCAGCCTCAAATGAGTATCTGGTGGAATAGTGTAAACATCGACACTAGGGAGAGAAAGGCAGCCAGGCGTGTGGTGTTGGCCACCTACCCCCTCGTGTGTGCTGTGCCAGCTTTCATAGGTGCTCGCTAACAGCACTTGCCCCAACAATCTGTTAAGGCTTTACGGGAGTCTTTGTCTTGCAGACATAAGACTCCTTATCGAATCTTAAAATCAGACAAGCAAAGTAGGTACCCAACTGAAAATGGGCCCATAACACCTCCGTAGGCAATATGAATATC